GCCTTTATTTCCTGATCAAGCAGGGGAAATCATGGAGCCCAACATGGGTAAAAATTCCTGACTCCCTTACCACGTACGAGTTCTCCGAACCTGCTCGTTTTGTGCCAGCAAAGCGATATCCTGCCCCTTCTGGGTCACTAGTCATTTATTCGCGTCATCCAATGCTATTACCATCCATTAGTGAAAACAAAACTGTAAACACTGAACTCGTCAAAAATAGCGTTTGGGCTTTGGGTGGCAACCAGGGATGCGTCAGAGCTACCACGGTGATTCGTGAAGTATTTTATTAGAAGACCTTCACTAGAAACCCCATAAAGTAAGTGCTAACCCTAGTTCTGAAATCAAAGCTGGGTTGTAAAATGTAAGGACCATTTTGATGCTAAAACGAATTCCCTAGAGGGAAAGTTTCAAAGATCTTTTCTTGCTATACGTACCGTTGCTTACAGGACGTGGCATGGCTGCTTGCGGTGCCATCGGGGCTTGCGTTGGCGACATCAGCGGTGGCGACCTCATATCAGCCGCGTAGTGGGGTGATGCTGTTGGCTGAGAAAATCGCGATCCTGGAACGAATAATGTCTAATTTATATAATTTCGAAAAACAACGGAGTTTAGTTTTCAGTAATCATTCTGCGAAGCAGGCTCTCATTCCACCGGTCTATATTGTATGGTCCGGGGAGTCCCAAAGAAAAACCAAAACACACTCCATGACTATTACTATTCAAAACAGAAGTCTGTTGCCTGGCGCAACCCAGAGATTATCGATAAAGGCAGAGCTTTCTGCCATTTTATACTTAATACGAATTAATTCGACTTCCCACTTATGCCATAGTAGGCCACATACGAAGTAAAGAACCAAGTAATATTGGCCGTTACAAAGCCGGCGCTATCAATGGCTCCGAGGTTGGCTTGAGAAAGAAAGCTGACATTTGCATCGCGCGTTTTTGTTTAGCTATTCTCTTTCATACGTGACACTCCGCGTCCTCAGATGATTAATGCATCACTCGATTCTCTCACAACTGGAATTTTCGTCCAATTGGCATGGACACAGTCGCACAGAAACCATGGAAAAATCCACAAATTGAAAAATCTCCAGTTACGAGTGTATCGGAGCTCCCTCCGTACCAAGAAAAGGGTGGATTCCTGGTAAAAGAACAATAGCAATTGTGAAGAAAGCTCTCGAACCTTTTGGAATTGTCTTTTTGGAGAGGTGAGTTTTACAACCACAATTTTTTATTAGACATTCAGACCATCACGAGACTTCGGGAGAGCACAGTACTAATAAATCATTCCAAAATTTACTACCACCCTATAACCCTTCTACCCAATGAACATACTGCCTTGCCAGAGGATTCCTCGACTGCAGGGGGACAGCAGATGTCCAGCTATCCAGCAGAACTTGTGAGAGGGGAAGCTGGCCGCACTATAGCTACTGGTAGCGAGGCAAGTCTTGCTGTTGGGGAAATGTTGCAGAGCATGGCCGAACCCCCCCCCCCCCTCCCACAAAATTTTCTCGCTCATGGATATGAACGCCTCTCCATTCCTTCTTAATTTCTCTGCCCACCTTCTATTATTTTTTTCGCGAGAATTCGATTTCCATGAAGCTGGCTAGTCGGGAGGTGTCCGACAGGCGGGGGGGAAACCCGGCGGGCGGGGGGAAGCAGCAGCAGAGAGAGAGAAGAGAGAGGAGAGAGGAGACGAGAGAGAGAGAGAGGAGAGAGCAGACGAGAGGTAACTGAATGCGACGCCCATCGAAAGGGGAAAAAACCTAGTATACATCAACAAACCGACGATCTTTTTTAAAACAACTGGCGACCCCCCCCCCATGCCCTGCCTTCCCCTCAACTGCAAAATTCTGATGACTCTCCATAGTCTGTAGGATCTCCGCACAAATGACCGGACTGTCGCCAATGACCGGTAGAGAAGGGCCAGCATATTTGAAAAAAATGGCCCTCATATCTCATCATGGTCCAATATTCAAACATCCTGATGGGTGAGACGGCGGTGTCAGTATGACCCCCTTCCAAATCCCCCCTTGCAGTACAACACCCACTCACACACTACTTACCACTTTGCCGGATTCTCCCAACTTACCGGTTTCTCAGCTTTACCAGTTCGTCCAAAAAAAAACTGGCGTGGAGGAGGTGGGGTGGTTAGCGGAAACAAAAAATATCCTTCCCAGCTTGGAAATTTCTCTCGACCCGCTTTCCTCCACCTCTCCCAGCGACCAAGTACTATACCACTCCCTCTCCCCTCCCGATCCTCCCGACAATGCTGTACTGTGAACCCCAGGACGTGCAATGGCACCATTGTAATTGTAAGCATCTTTCTTCTGTTGCGTACTTGATCCCGCCAGCTTCCTACATACCAATAATCTCATCTGGATTCTCGGAATCATAGGGAATTCTCTCACGACCTATGGAAACCTGAAGCAACCAACCTCCCGAAAGTAAGATAAAAGTAACCGAATTGTGCGTAGAACTCAGCGAAAACGAACGAGAACGAAATGAGGCGCAAATGTATTTAAGATTCAGAGCTACTCTAAATGCATAGCCTTTCCTCTCAAAGAGGGCAAAGAGGGCAATATATGGGAAGAAATGGGTATGACGTCAATAACCCCCGGGTAACATTGAGCCTTTG